TCGCTTTAACTTTAACATAACTTTAACTTAATTTTAACTTAACATAACTGAACTTTAACTTAACTGTAACTAAACTTTAACGTATCCTTAACTTAATTTTAACTTAAATTTAACATAACTTTAACCTAACATTAAATTAACTTTACATTAGCTTAAGCATAAACCTAACTCTAACTTAATTTTTCCATAACTTTAACTCAATTTTAACTTAGCTTTCAATAACTTTACCTTGAACATTACTTTAACTTTCAAATTATTTTAACTTTATCTTTAACTTCACTGTAACATAACTTTAACTTATCTTTTATTTAACTTTAACAAAACTTTAACTTATCTTTAACTTTGACAAAACTTTAACTTAATTTAAACTTAACTGATAACTATACGGTCACATGTAAATATCTGTAAATATCACCCAACATTTGTAAATATTTAGCATTAAGTCACATTGAATTCAAACCAAAACAAACTAAAGTAGTTAAGCCTAACACAAATTTAAATAACAGAAAACAGATTTAAATCACCAACCGTCACCACAATAATACACTACACTGTTCAATCGACCCACAAGCTATTGTACATGCAAAACCCATTCAATGAAAACAAAGTTACACAATCCCATCAGTACAAAATATAAAGCCAAAGCAACCGGTAGCAAACTCAAGTCGTTCTCTTTATTCCGAGCAAATAAGGCAAACCCCCCCTCAGTGCAGTAAATTCGAGTGATCTTTCAAAATCCGAAACTGATCTCAATGGTGGCCAAAGGTGGTAATAAATCGATCACGGAATCGATTGAGTGCGTATGTTTCGTGCGTGATAATCACAGTGAGTGATTCGTGTAGAACAAACCCCACAACGGTCATTTAAGATAGTGCGATAGTGAAGTGTGCTATAGTGGCGAATTACCCTTTCCTGTGGTTTGGTGTACCGCTTTTTGAAATAGCGGGTAGTAATACCTCCGGTGGCCGGTAGTTAGATCTCCACGATCGAACATTGGTTTTGCTGATTTTTTACTTAACATTAAATAAACTTTAACATAACCTTAATAAAATTTTAACTTAAATTTAACATAACTTTAACTAAACTTTAACCTAAAATCAACTTAACATATATTTAACTTAACTTTAACTTTTACATAACTTTAACTTAACTTTAGCATATTTTGTTTTCCTAGATAACACGGGTTGATATAGGGAAAATGGCTGTAATGTTGGCCTATGGATCTAAGATTGGGCACATCGCTAAAAGTCTGCTATTCACAAGGGGTAAGTCACTCAGCACAGTATGCCGAGAGTTGATTCGGCACAGCTTGGGCACATCCGTCCACAGACCTTCGGCACAATCTGTTTGTTTATTGAATCTGATCTGTTAATTAAATAAAATGGGAGCACTGCTGGACAGCTGTCATTGAAGTTTGACTGCGTATTTCAGAAAAATACTCTAACTATATATACTAGAGGAATTCAGACTAGCAATTCACTTCTCGGTTCACATTTAAATTCTAAATGTAGGCTTCCGAGGGCTGTCGATTGCTATCGATGCCGGTCACAAGTCTTTCAGCTACTACGCAAATGGAGTGTACTACGAACCGGAATGCATGAATAATTTGGATGGATTAGATCATGCAGTGGTGGCGATTGGCTAATCAAGAACTCCTGGTCCAACTCCTGCGGCAACGATGGATATGCTTTGATGGCGGTGAAGGGTAACAACTGTTTCGTTACCACCGATTCGACGTATGTAAATTTGAAGTAAGATTTCTGTTTAAATTAGAATTAAGTAAAAGAGTAGTTTCATTTTCGGATATGTGCCATCTTATACGAGATGAAATAAATGGTTTTCCAATTTCGTAAAATGAAACAAAATTTGTAAGTTAATTAGGTTGAGTGGAAGCAATGAAAATTCCGTGTGATTGTGCCGTGAAAAACTAGTTTGGTATTGTTCAAGTGAGTTTTGTTTGGTAGATGACCAACTAACCGAGTGCTGTTGATTTGCTGCTCAAAAGTAGGGTCGTTACAAGGCCGAACTACTTTTCACGGCACAATCACACGGAATTGTTATTGCTTCCACTCAACCTAATTAACTTACAACATACTCGAATTCTCCCGGAAAGCCAACCCGATGGCAAAACCGAACATCTTCGCTTGGATCCTCCTTCTTGGCATAATCCATTCCGACGTCGAAAACCTCCGAGAGCTTTTCTTGCCCGGAATCATCACCTTCAGCAGTTCCTCTTCCAGATTGAGCAGAAAGGTCTAGTGCTTCTGAATCGTTTCCGTATGATTCATCAGCAACGTTTGGGCGACATTGCATCAGTAGGACTTGTAACGCGCACCCAGAGCACAGATGATCGATCCGAAGTGCAGATAGTTCTTGTCGCTGAATGTACTGAACTTCAAGCTCTAATTGCCACCCGTTTGGATAATCACCGGGCACATGTCCAACTAGTTGGTATCGGAGACGAACCTTTTGTTCGTCAGAGCCTGCTCGACACCCTCCGACAGTTTGGCATATTTTACTTTTTTATCAGCATCGATAATCTTCATGATGTGATCCTTGAGGTACTTGTTGAATACGTCTCCCATAACTAGGCAGGCCTTGATGGTGATAACCTCGGAGTCCTCCTTAGAGCACATGATGTACCCGATTGGGACGCTGATGTCCACCGTGTTGAAGCTCTTGTTCTTGACGAAGGCTCGTCACGATTCACATAATTCACCCGGGAAGTTCTCCTTGATCTCCAGCAGCTTTTCAAAATTGGCCTTGTCTTTGTCGTTCTTATCCCAAACCAGCAGCTTTACCGACGGAATGCCCTCCTCACCGTCCTTCTCGAGCTGCTTCAAGAAGTAGAGTTATGTCCCAGCCTGCCTAAGATCACATCTTATGTGCCAGTCAACCTTACATCGTAGCTCCCACGGCAGGCAAGCCATTCAACCAGCCTACTCATCATTTCCAGGAACAACATCGTCGTTCCTACGTAGCGCCTGCAATAGACCAGACTCAGCCCGAATAACTTCATCGAATACAACCTGAATCCCGGTACGTGACTATTCTATGGAGGACATCGTGGCGACATGGACTGTTCCCAGCTGACCTCAGCAGTTTAACAGTATAGTTAGGTTGTTAGATGGTCGTAAGTAGAACAGGCACTCAGTTCTTAGTTGACTCCCAAAGTGATCGGTTGGTAGTTTTAGTTTGATGAAGTTAATACAAGTGATGTTAGATTAGTTAGATGAAAACGTTTTTTTTAAGTCCTGATGACAATCAGTACATAAGTTTAGATCTTCTAACTGGTCAGGAAAAAGATGGACTTTTCGTACAGCACCTTAATCGTATCGGTCAGCTCGTATCCCAGAAGCGCAGGTGGATTTACTGTAATGGTTTCCTCGACTACGCCAACCGCCGTCAGATTGCAATCCGCCTTCTGCAGCGAATCATCATGGGAAAACTCTGGTTCCTTCCAGTTGGCGTAGAGGCGTTTTATTCGTCGGTAGAAAAAATCCTTATCGAGCGCGATAATCGAAATTTTCGGTGCCGTTGTGAATGCAAACCAAACATTCAAGCTGTCAAATATTCCGGGTTGCCAAAGATACCTTAATATTTGTATTTTACAAAAAATCACAGCTTGCTCTATGACCGGCACTGCCGGCAAAATTGGTACACCTGCGGCACACTTGCTGCACACTGAGAAAAATGGTGACCCAAGATTGGTGTGCGGAGTGACCTACCCCTTGGCTATTCATCAATATTATCTAGATGAACGCGTCATTGGGACGGTAGTAATGGATATTTTTGGTCGCTATTGAAAATTTAGTCGATTGCTGAATTTATGTGTGGGCCCAAATTAGGGGAATTAAGGCCGACATTACATCCATTTCCCCTATATTTATATGAATGGGAGCGATATCCTACGCAGGTGTGGAAGCTGCTTTCCTGCACATTCGATTGCTGTCAATGGATGGCAATCGATGTCCGTCGGTGATTGGCACTAGATTGCGGAACAGAGACCGACGTTAAATAAAGGAAAGAAGATCATTTCCACCATGCGGAAAGTGTCAAAACTATTCGTTTGAAACAAATTCAATATTTTTTGTCGGCACCCTGGATTACATTCCCCCTTTTCCTGCAAACAACAATAAAAACTGACAGCTACATATCTCTGCGGGTGGGTGAAGTATTTTCACGCTGTCGCTCCATGTCAGAAGCTAAAGTAAAATCGCTCATTGGGGAGAAATTCTGAAAACAACTTCGCACGTAGCACCATTGTACAGGGCATTAGCAGTTTCGGTTCGCTTTATTAAACAGAATCGTGGAGCGTGCAGCTGATGGGTGTTTTGTTTGCAGATTCACTAGAATTCTCTCACCATTCCAACTCGTTTGCATTCATTCATTCATTCTCGCGGGAGTACGAGTTGTACAGTTTTATTCGGCATTCTTGACTTGTGTGCTAAACCGGCTGAATGAGCACGGAAAATTAGTTACAGCCATGACGACGACGACGACGACGATGATAACGATGAAGGCGAAAAGTTGCGTGGAATTTGAACAAGCAGGTGGAAATTCGCGTGGTTCGCCTTTACCCACCCCCTTGTGAGATGCTATCTGCGGAGAATAATGAATGGTGCACAAGCTTCACTGAGCACTCCGCCGAAGCGCGCCGGCTCGGTACTCGCTTAGCTAATTCATTAAATTTAATTGCTGGCTAAGTGCTTTCGTCGGATGGAAGCTGAAAATGGTAGCTGATTCTCAAATCTGAGCTAATTTTCGGTGGGTTGGTTGGTTTTCTTTTTCATTAGGACAAGTTTAGCGAAGCTTCATCTGCTCCAGCACTTGGCATTTGAAGGGACAACAATCTCATCATTCTGAAGCATTGTCGATTTGAAAATTTAACTCCTGCTTGCAGAGTTCACAGCATCGTACATTCAATAGAATTTAAACTCTTGCCCCATCCCAGCACAACGCCTATGTAACACTTTCCGGATTTCTCTCTTTCTCCTTAGGCACCTCTTCCATTCGACTCGTGGGTCGGCGAACGGCTCGCCACTGCCGATGCCCCCCTTTGCACCCAACGGGACCCGTACCGGAGGGACGAAGAAGTTTCCGGTGTCGAGGATTGCCTACAGTTGAATGTGTACGTTCCGGAACGACCGGCCCAGGAGGGACCGCTGCCGGTGATGGTGTTCTTCCATGGAGGCGGCTGGCAGTGCGGATCCGGCATGAGAGGCTTCTACGGACCGGACTTTTTGCTCGATCACGACGTAATCTACATTGGAGCCAACTTCCGGTTGGGTCCCCTTGGCTTTCTGAGCACCGAACAGGAAGACTGCCCGGGAAATAATGGACTGAAGGATCAGAGTTTTGTGTTGAAGTGGATTCAGGAGAATATTGCTTCGTTCGGAGGGGATCCCGGTTCGGTGACGATGTTTGGCGAGAGTGCGGGAGGAGCCAGTGGCACCTATCATATGATGTCTCCGATGTCGAAAGGCCTATTCCACCGGGTAATATCGCAGTCCGGAGTGAATCTGGACGCGTGGGCTCAACCGGCACATACGGGAGTTGCTCGGAAGCGATCCGTTCAGTTGGGTGACATGCTGGGATGTCATCAGGGACGAGACGGGAAGTTCCGGGAGATGATGGATTGCTTGCGCAAGGTCTCCGGGGAGGATGTGACGAAGGCGTTCTATGGGTTTTTCGTAAGTAGTGACGGGAGCTACTGATGGTGTGAACATAGTATTGTGATGGTATTTGTTTTTAGACTTGGGACACTGATCCGATGATTCCGTTTCCACCGGTCGTTGAACCGGACCTACCAGGGGCCTTCATCACCAAACATCCCCGGGATGAGTACGAACCGCATGCGCTTGCCCTGCCCTGGATGACCGGCTTGACAATGGACGAGGGAGCTCTGAAGAGTGCTTGTAAGTAATTCTAGACATTTTTTTAGCTTTTTACGGTTGCAGTATACATATATTGACGAATTACGACGAAAAGGATTTAGGCATTGTAGCGTATTTTGGGATCTCGGAAATAGAGAATACAACCACGAATACTGTTTAAAACTTATATTGTCCGGTTATCATAGTCGAACCGACTAAAACGAATAAAACGATTACCGACGAAAAGGTGATACTATATTTTATATAAATCGATATAAAGGTTTGGGAAGTCCACCGGCCGACAAATGAAGGTTTTTGAAATATTTTAAACTGGAAAATTTTGGTATGAAAATTTCGAGCATCTGAACACCCCCCAAATCGCGATTAGAGCCTTAATTAAGGAGATAAATCGATTTAAAGGTTTGGGAAGCCCACCGGCCGACAAATAAAGGATTTTGGTATATTTTATACTGGGAAATTTGGGTATGAAAATTTCGAGCATCTGAACACCCCCCAAATCGCGATTAGAGCCATAATTAAGGAGATAAATCGATTTAAAGGTTTGGGAAGCCCACCGGCGGACAAATAAAGGATTTTGGTATATTTTATACTGGGAAATTTTGGTATGAAAATTTCGAGCATCTGAACACCCCCCAAATCGCGATTAGAGCCTTAATTAAGGAGATAAATCGATTTAAAGGTTTGGGAAGCCCACCGGCCGACAAATAAAGGATTTTGGTATATTTTATACTGGGAAATTTTGGTATGAAAATTTCGAGCATCTGAACACCCCCCAAATCGCGATTAGAGCCTCAATTAAGGAGATAAATCGATTTAAAGGTTTGGGAAGCCCACCAGCTGACAAATAAAGGTTTTTGGAATATTTTATACTGGGAAATTTTGGTATGAAAATTTCGAGCATCTGAACACCCTCCAAATCGTGATTAGACCCTTAATTAAGGAGATAAATCGATTTAAAGGTTTGGGAAATCCACCGGCCGACAAATAAAGGATTTTGGTATATTTTATACTGGGAAATTTTGGTATGAAAATTTCGAGCATCTGAACACCCCCCAAATCGCGATTAGAGCCTTAATTAAGGAGATAAATCGATTTAAAGGTTTGGGAAGCCCACCGGCCGACAAATAAAGGATTTTGGTATATTTTATACTGGGAAATTTTGGTATGAAAATTTCGAGCATCTGAACACCCCCCAAATCGCGATTAGAGCCTTAATTAAGGAGATAAATCGATTTAAAGGTTTGGGAAGCCCACCGGCCGACAAATAAAGGATTTTGGTATATTTTATACTGGGAAATTTTGGTATGAAAATTTCGAGCATCTGAACACCCCCCAAATCGCGATTAGAGCCTTAATTAAGGAGATAAATCGATTTAAAGTTTGGGAAGCCCACCGGCCGACAAATAAAGGATTTTGGTATATTTTATACTGGGAAATTTTGGTATGAAAATTTCGAGCATCTGAACACCCCCCAAATCGCGATTAGAGCCTTAATTAAGGAGATAAATCGATTTAAAGGTTTGGGAAGCCCACTGGCCGACAAATAAAAGATTTTGAAATATTTTATACTGGGAAATATTGGTATGAAAATTTTGAGCATCTGAACACCCCCCAAATCGCGATTAGAGCCATAATTAAGGAGATAAATCGATTTAAAGGTTTGGGAAGCCCACCGGCGGACAAATAAAGGATTTTGGTATATTTTATACTGGGAAATTTTGGTATGAAAATTTCGAGCATCTGAACACCCCCCAAATCGCGATTAGAGCCATAATTAAGGAGATAAATCGATTTAAAGGTTTGGGAAGCCCACCGGCGGACAAATAAAGGATTTTGGTATATTTTATACTGGGAAATTTTGGTATGAAAATTTCGAGCATCTGAACACCCCCCAAATCGCGATTAGAGCCTTAATTAAGGAGATAAATCGATTTAAAGGTTTGGGAAGCCCACCGGCCGACAAATAAAGGATTTTGGTATATTTTATACTGGGAAATTTTGGTATGAAAATTTCGAGCATCTGAACACCCCCCAAATCGCGATTAGAGCCTCAATTAAGGAGATAAATCGATTTAAAGGTTTGGGAAGCCCACCAGCTGACAAATAAAGGTTTTTGGAATATTTTATACTGGGAAATTTTGGTATGAAAATTTCGAGCATCTGAACACCCTCCAAATCGTGATTAGACCCTTAATTAAGGAGATAAATCGATTTAAAGGTTTGGGAAATCCACCGGCCGACAAATAAAGGATTTTGGTATATTTTATACTGGGAAATTTTGGTATGAAAATTTCGAGCATCTGAACACCCCCCAAATCGCGATTAGAGCCTTAATTAAGGAGATAAATCGATTTAAAGGTTTGGGAAGCCCACCGGCCGACAAATAAAGGATTTTGGTATATTTTATACTGGGAAATTTTGGTATGAAAATTTCGAGCATCTGAACACCCCCCAAATCGCGATTAGAGCCTTAATTAAGGAGATAAATCGATTTAAAGGTTTGGGAAGCCCACCGGCCGACAAATAAAGGATTTTGGTATATTTTATACTGGGAAATTTTGGTATGAAAATTTCGAGCATCTGAACACCCCCCAAATCGCGATTAGAGCCTTAATTAAGGAGATAAATCGATTTAAAGTTTGGGAAGCCCACCGGCCGACAAATAAAGGATTTTGGTATATTTTATACTGGGAAATTTTGGTATGAAAATTTCGAGCATCTGAACACCCCCCAAATCGCGATTAGAGCCTTAATTAAGGAGATAAATCGATTTAAAGGTTTGGGAAGCCCACTGGCCGACAAATAAAAGATTTTGAAATATTTTATACTGGGAAATATTGGTATGAAAATTTTGAGCATCTGAACACCCCCCAAATCGCGATTAGAGCCATAATTAAGGAGATAAATCGATTTAAAGGTTTGGGAAGCCCACCAGCCGACAAATAAAGGTTTTTGGAATATTTTATACTGGGAAATTTTGGTATGAAAATTTCGAGCATCTGAACACCCCCCAAATCGCGATTAGAGCCTTAATTAAGGAGATAAATCGATTTAAAGTTTGGGAAGCCCACCGGCCGACAAATAAAGGATTTTGGTATATTTTATACTGGGAAATTTTGGTATGAAAATTTCGAGCATCTGAACACCCCCCAAATCGCGATTAGAGCCTTAATTAAGGAGATAAATCGATTTAAAGGTTTGGGAAGCCCACCGGCCGACAAATAAAGGATTTTGGTATATTTTATACTGGGAAATTTTGGTATGAAAATTTCGAGCATCTGAACACCCCCCAAATCGCGATTAGAGCCTTAATTAAGGAGATAAATCGATTTAAAGGTTTGGGAAGCCCACCGGCCGACAAATAAAGGATTTTGGTATATTTTATACTGGGAAATTTTGGTATGAAAATTTCGAGCATCTGAACACCCCCCAAATCGCGATTAGAGCCTTAATTAAGGAGATAAATCGATTTAAAGTTTGGGAAGCCCACCGGCCGACAAATAAAGGATTTTGGTATATTTTATACTGGGAAATTTTGGTATGAAAATTTCGAGCATCTGAACACCCCCCAAATCGCGATTAGAGCCTTAATTAAGGAGATAAATCGATTTAAAGGTTTGGGAAGCCCACTGGCCGACAAATAAAAGATTTTGAAATATTTTATACTGGGAAATATTGGTATGAAAATTTTGAGCATCTGAACACCCCCCAAATCGCGATTAGAGCCATAATTAAGGAGATAAATCGATTTAAAGGTTTGGGAAGCCCACCGGCCGACAAATAAAGGTTTTTGGAATATTTTATACTGGGAAATTTTGGTATGAAAATTTCGAGCATCTGAACACCCCCCAAATCGCGATTAGAGCCTTAATTAAGGAGATAAATCGATTTAAAGGTGTGGGAAGCCCACCGGCCGACAAATAAAGGTTTTTGGAATATTTTACACTGGGAAATTTTGGTATGAAAATTTCGAGCATCTGAACACCCCCCAAATCGCGATTAGAGCCTTAATTAAGGAGATAAATCGATTTAAAGGTTTGGGAAGCCCACCGGCCGACAAATAAAGGATTTTGGTATATTTTATACTGGGAAATTTGGGTATGAAAATTTCGAGCATCTGAACACCCCCCAAATCGCGATTAGAGCCTTAATTAAGGAGATAAATCGATTTAAAGGTTTGGGAAGCCCACCGGCCGACAAATAAAGGATTTTGGTATATTTTATACTGGGAAATTTGGGTATGAAAATTTCGAGCATCTGAACACCCCCCAAATCGCGATTAGAGCCATAATTAAGGAGATAAATCGATTTAAAGGTTTGGGAAGCCCACCGGCGGACAAATAAAGGATTTTGGTATATTTTATACTGGGAAATTTTGGTATGAAAATTTCGAGCATCTGAACACCCCCCAAATCGCGATTAGAGCCTTAATTAAGGAGATAAATCGATTTAAAGGTTTGGGAAGCCCACCAGCTGACAAATAAAGGTTTTTGGAATATTTTATACTGGGAAATTTTGGTATGAAAATTTCGAGCATCTGAACACCCTCCAAATCGTGATTAGACCCTTAATTAAGGAGATAAATCGATTTAAAGGTTTGGGAAATCCACCGGCCGACAAATAAAGGATTTTGGTATATTTTATACTGGGAAATTTTGGTATGAAAATTTCGAGCATCTGAACACCCCCCAAATCGCGATTAGAGCCTTAATTAAGGAGATAAATCGATTTAAAGGTTTGGGAAGCCCACCGGCCGACAAATAAAGGATTTTGGTATATTTTATACTGGGAAATTTTGGTATGAAAATTTCGAGCATCTGAACACCCCCCAAATCGCGATTAGAGCCTTAATTAAGGAGATAAATCGATTTAAAGGTTTGGGAAGCCCACCGGCCGACAAATAAAGGATTTTGGTATATTTTATACTGAGAAATTTTGGTATGAAAATTTCGAGCATCTGAACACCCCCCAAATCGCGATTAGAGCCTTAATTAAGGAGATAAATCGATTTAAAGTTTGGG